AATGTTCCAAAATCTGTTGTAAAGTCTTCCCAGAAGAGTAGAGATTATCAAACTCCTTATTAATGTCCTTAATTTTAAAAGAAATGCTGGATAAGTAGGTGTCTACAAAGTTCGGGACATATCGTATATTAAAGCGGAAACAGCATTTTATGGCTACTTTGAAACAGGGTTAATGTGGAAATCCTTGTTTAGTCCAGTACTAGGCTTAACCTGGGTTTGGCCACAACAGCAAACACCACAAACAGCTTCTAATTTCTTAAACAACAGACTGAAACAAACTAATCTGCAAAACGATTGCAGTGTTTTTGTATTCTTTCCTTTCAAAGTTTATTTCAGAAGAAGACAGCAATCACATTCAATTCACATTCAGTGAGGCTTAACTGGCATGACCACATGAAGTTAGTGTTGCCAAAGCATTCAGATCTGTTGATCATACATAATCAGTCTATTAATAACACACCCACAAAAACAGATATCAGCCCACATGCAATCCTACATACAGTCGCTGTCCAAAAACAGGCATAAATATTTGTTGCTTTTAATGTAAATTAATGCAAAGAGTTTACATTCCAAGTCATTTTGGAGCTATAAGGAGGGCTGCTGTGTTCAAATGATGTAGACAAGTAAAAATAAAAAAAAATGCAGATACATGTTTTTCATTGGAAAGCGATAATATGTATGTTATTGACTGTATAATCTAATAATACACCACACAGATTGAACTGTCTCAGATAAATAGAACCTTTTCAATGCACCAGCTACCAAACAAGATTAGCCCCAAAAATCACAACCCAAAGAATTTACGAGCAACTTCACAAAAAAGGTCAGCCATTAGAGTGTAAGGCAAGGCAGGTTTATTTGTACAGCTTTCATACACTGCTGTCATTGAAAGTGCTAGGGGCATGCAGGGTAGGACTCCAATAGGACGCACTCAGATACCGAGTTTTGATCATTTGACAGTGTTTTTCACTGCAAATAACTGACCCTCAGAAGCAGAGATGGGGAGTTGAGTCAGCGTCTTGTGCTCAAGTCACACTCGAGTCACATACTGACTGACTCACAACTCGACTCAACCTTACCCTTAAATAACTTACGACTCGACTAATGAAATTTGGGCCTGAGGAAAAAAAACCAAACAAAACTGATTACATTATGACTGAAAACAACAGACAACACTGTCAATGGCTTCAAAATCCAAGTGTTTCGTGACAGAATACCCTCAATCCAATGGACAGTTCGAGGCAGTTAATGCAGTGTTTAAAAGAAAGACAAAACTTCAGCTTAAGCATACTTGATACACAACACAGAGACTAACCAACCATTTCAATTTGTTTTGCTTTTTTAGTAAACACAGGACTTACTGTGTGTAGTACTTTAGTTCAGACTAAGGCTATACCGAAAGGCTTGTTATTTGAAGCCGTGTCAAACCTGATTTTTTTTATAACGAGAGTAACCCAAGATTCACTACTTAAGACTCGAGACTGAGAGGTGTATAGTTTTACATTTCAATCATTTGTTTTGAAAGTTTTGGGATTTTTTCAATACTGCACTGACATCGTTAAAACCTTAGCAATGTCACATTTTTCGGTGCATTTCATAAAACTCACCCAACCCATTTTACCCATAACACCACCGCCGCCACCCCCCCCCACCACCACCACCACCACCACCACCTCAAATTTCCCCATTCTACTGTTTTCTCCCCCTCCACACAAGCACAAAAGCACAGGACTGCCTCTCGGAGCCTTTACAGAAAGCACAAAGCCCTCCCCTCGCCTCAGAAAGCCATATCCTAATTGATTCTCATTTTCATTAGTCACCGTGAGAGGCTTTTGTCCTTTGGGACTGGGGCCGAGCCAGCGGAGGAAAGCGGTCTGTTGCTCTCTCTGAGCGTGACCCATAGAGGTCTTCCTTAAAGAGAGAGAAACCTAGCTTAAGCTTTTGAAGTGCGTCCCCCGCTAACTAAAGGTCAAAATAATAAATGTAGGCCCAATTGAAGCCTGGGGAGAGGAGAGTGGGGGTTGGAGACAGAGCAGGGCGTTTTTAGGGAGGGCTGGAGGGGAGACGTGTTGAATTCATTGAGCTGGGCATATCCAAAGACAGCACAGCACGGGTCCCGAACAGAGAGAATGGAAGGTTCATGTGCTCAGACAGGGTTGGCTCCACCGGTCTGCGGGTTTTGCTGAGAACTATCCGTCTCTCTCTCTCTGGCGCTATCTACATTTATGTCACTCGCTCTCCAATTCTCAACTCTATCAGAGTGTACGTCTTTACTGTATCGATTCACTATATTTTTATATTCAGTTACTGATATTCTGAAATTACAGTACCAGTTCTTAGAAAAAAATAGTACTTTTGGTCCCATAAATAACCTTCAAATGGATGGTTCTTTACAGAACCCTTTTTGTAAATGAGAACCATTTTAAAGTCTAAAGAATCTCCACATAAGGTTCTATATCACTTAGTGTATGTGGGCCCACGTTTCAATTCCTCACTTTTATAACTTCATAACAAGCATCTTAGTTCCATACTAATTATTTAACGTTAGTTTCTTAAGTCTCAAGATTGAATAATAAGCCTAGTGTTTAAAGGCTATTACTACAAAGGATATTACTAAATAATGCCATACAGCTAGACAATTTGGAACTATTGCATTAAAAACAAATGTAATGATATGCCAATTACATGTACACAGCCAGAATTTGACCAATTTTTCAGAATTTTCACATTATTTATATTCCACATTATAGTTTTTTCTTTAGTTTATCTTTTTCCTCTGTGGTCCTCTTATGCTATTTTCCAACCTCTCTTTATCCCTGTTTTTTTATTGTACCTTTAAGACTGATATGTAAATGAGCTCTGTTCTGATTGGCTGTCCAGTATTTTGCCTCGTTCAAATGCAGTCCAAGCTGAATCACTTGCTTTAACGTCAGTGTAAATGGGCAGAGCTAAACTGCTGAAGACAGAATAGGAGGTTGTAAATGTATTGTTTTTTGTAACATAAAATAAAAAAAAAAACAAACAGTAAAAAACAAAAAGCGCTGTTTTTGCATCTGGACTGTATGGACTCAGAAGTGAATGTTAAAGTTTCAAAATGTACAGATGTTTACGTACCACATCAAACTCTTTTGTTTTAAAAGTGTTTCAGTTTTCCATGATATGAAGTTAATAGTAAAATGCAAACAAACCCATTCAGAATGGTTTGATGAGAAGTGGTGCACTCCAGACAAGCTTACTAATTCAGAATTGTTTACAGTGGGGGGGTGACAGGAAGTAGACACGTGAAGCTTTAATGCCTATATAATGCCTACACATCTGCTTTAAATGCAGTTGTTTATTTTATCTTTCAATTATAGTAACAAATAAATCTGACTCTGTTTGTAATGTTTCTAAGATTTCACTTCCCAGTCTTGACTTTCTCCCAACAGTGCATTTGCTGTAATCCTCAAAGCAAAAAAACAAAAAAGATAAAAGTCTTTGAATGAGGCTTGATATTATAAGCAATCCATTCTGATTACAGGCTACAGCAAAAGCAATTCCATATTCAGCAACAGACAGAGCTTATGTCTTCTCATTTTGCAGATGCATTCACTCATTGTAAGCTTTTAGTCTTTAGTTAAAGGAATAGTTTGGCAAAAAAAAAAAAAATCAATTTTACTCAGTTTTCCACTTCCAGTTTACCCCAGATGTAGTCTATCAGCTAAGACATGTTTGGATTCCAAACTTCATCTCTTTAGTTTAGCACTGGAGCTACATACTAACATAGCTAACAAACACTAGAACTCAATAGTCACCCAAATGTAACGATGTTAGCCTCACCATTCCAGTTCTAAATTAAAGAAGCAAAATTTGGGCACCAAACATTCATTGACTGATCAACTACATCTGGGGCGAGTGGAAAATTGTACATACATATATGTAAAGGGAAAATTTCACCAATTTTGCAACATAAGAATGGTTTGTTGGCAAAGGCGCCATTCTAGACAAACTGACAGAGGCAGAATTGTTCACAGTAGTGGTGACTGAACCAGATGTTTGAAGTGTTGAATGCCTCTAATAGCTTCATTTTACATAAAGCTATTAAACAAACAAACATGCTGCCTGATGTCTACGACATTAATTTGTGATTCAAATTGAGTTCTGAGGTAAAATTTTGGCCTAAAACATGCATGGCGGAGAGGTACACACAGTGCATTACAAGACAAGATAGTACCCAAAGAATCTTTTCCCGGTTTTATCAGTGTTTTATCTATAACAGCATTACATATAAAAATTCTTAAGTGTAGGTTTACTGTTTGTGGACAGTAAATAAAATGGCTATGTATGTGTTTTAGTCATGGCGACCCTGGTTCCCATCACCACCACTGTAAAGAGGTCTGAGTCTGTACTTTTCTTTTCCATTAACTATTTTACATCTCAGCGACTGAATTATGCATAAATGTTGTAATTTTGGAATTCACCTTTAAGCAGCCCATTAGTGAGGTCAGTTACCAGTGACCTTTGCCAGTTATCTCGTTTAAAGGCTGTGGGTTTTCTTTTAATGTAAAAAGAAGATGCAAGCAACTTCATTTAGGCACTGATGAGCGTCACCAGCAGCCTGATATTCAACAACTGTCATTACTTTTTCAGTGCAATATTACCAAAAAAAAATAAATAAATAAATAATAATAAAAAAGCATCCTTCCATCTTCCCTCTCTCTATACGTATTGTTATTGCCAAGTGCTTTAATGTAGGATGATTAGAATTGCGCTTTGCAACAGAAAAGTCATAAAACTACTTTTTAAATGATACTAACAGAATTGTAATTCCACTGTAATAGCCACCGCCAACATTTCTCGAGCGCTTTTTTTTCGCACCCGTATTCAGACCAAACCCTTCTCTCATTGGGCGGTCTACTCGTGTATGCGATCTATGAGCCAATCCTGGCGCGGGATGCGAAACGCCACGAGCCAATCGCATCGCGGGAAGGCGGGATTTGTACGAATAAAGGGTGGGTAAATCCGGCATTGCCAGGGTAACCGCTGCTCGTTCAGCTGCACTGTTTTTTTTTCTCTACCTCTTTTCTCCAGAGATTTTCCGCAGGCAGCAACCGCAACGGTTATCGACACAGAAAAACGGTGAGCCATTTTTCTGTCATTTATATAGACATCCTTTTAGATTTGAGGTCATTCTGGCTCGAAACGCGATGCTTTCGGTTACAAAGCTAGATGCTAGCTGTCGTTCTGTGGGCAGCTAATGTTAAAATATTTTGTTGTGGTTGTGCTGATTGTTTAAACCGAGCTCCTCAGCACCTCCTTGTACAAACAGGCATAACGTTATGGTGGTCAGTCAGCCTACTGAACAGAATATAGACTAAAACTGTAATAAATGTGGGGTTTCTAGTGTGTAACGCATATCTATTAGCCCGTATTAGCAAAAATGAACATCTGTTTTGGGGGTAACTGTCCTTTGTGAGACCGTTCAGCCCGTTTTATACACCTACAGCGGCGTTAAAACCTTTCAAACCGTCGAAACGCGTTTTACGCCGTTGCGGTAACGCTAACGCTGAATGGCGCTGCAACGTATAGCAGATATGCTCTGAATTTGCTAATGCCTTCTGCCTCTTTTCATTTCTCCACATTTTGCTTTGTGCTTGGCCTTATTTTGACAAAAAAAAAACAGCACCACAAAAACCTAAGAAGTAAAACTAGTACTTGTCCTCGAGAGGAATAAGATTGTTCTCACAGGCCTTGTGAATACTAGGAGCACATTTCCTACTTAAAGATTCAGACAGTGTTTTTAGGCGTGTGCATGTCAATTTGTTATCGTACGTGTGTTTTACATGTCATTTTTGGGTCTGTGCGTTAATTTGGACATTACTTTCTCGTCTATATGTGTGTAATATCTGTACAGTTTTAACATGAATATGACATGATCTCAATATATATTTCATAAGGAAAAAAATGCAGTTGTTCCAACTGTTCTGGCCTCTTTTTCCATCACCAATTGGATCAGAGGTAGACAGATAGATATAGAGTGTAAAAGTAGACTGTATTTGTTGTCCTGGGCTCCAGATCAGTTAATGGATATGACTCCATTTTATTCTATGAGTGAATGTGAGTATGTGTGAATACGTGCTTTGCACTGACTCATAATGATGTGGGTTGAGATTCGGCAACAACATGTGCACACAGGTCCTCTTCCAAGAAATATAGCATATACACTCATTTATTCTGACATAAGAGATTGAATTTAAACCTCTGATTTGTTCAGCTAGGAAATCGCCACGCGTAGGTGAAAGTAAGATGCACAACAAAAATGATGACAAATGCAGTAGCAATCTGTATGTGTATGTGAGAGAGAGAGAGAGCGGGAGAGATAACCTCATTACAAATGAAGGATGCGCACCGATGTTGAGTAATTTGCTAGTAGTCTGACCCTGGCATAGGATGCATTATAAATAATGAACAGATAATAAACTGGCTTCAGTATTTCTTTGTAAAGTTTTCCATTTCATTACAAATTATATTGCTCTGACCACTTCATAATGTCTCTATAACAACCTGCATTTAAGGGTGTTTCCAGATATAGTTCTTTTTAAAAGAAACAAACTGTTCAAGTGAACCTGAAAGAAACCAGCTGCAAATGCCCTCAGTGCTTTAGTGTCCATAATGTAAGGGGACTCAATCCTTTTTCTGGTTCTCTTTAGACGACTTTTTGTTCACACCACCAAACTCTTTCATATCTCATACCCCATCTGGGTAACGTTGTATTATGGGTAGTACTGGACAGGTTAATCATATAACTGACCTGATAGGCTGAGCCATGTTCTTATTCATGACCAAAATACTCTAATTGCGCCAAGCTACTAAAAACCACTAAACGGTCACAGTAACAATGTTCAAGGAATCATTTTTGATCAAAATTTTTTTATTGGGCATTATACGTAATATTGTTTTTACTATATACTATACATATATTTTTATGTGTGTTTTCTGTTGCTGTTTTACATAAGCAGTAAGCCACTGGGGGTTGTGCATTACAATGTTTTCACCACATTGTGCCTAACGTCAACTTTTGTGGCTTATTGCTTTAATACGCCAGTGCCGCCGCCTCTTTACAAAATCGGACAAATCGATGGGCAGTCACTCTCCTGAGGAGTTTGGATGTGCCCTCTAAGTACTGGAAGGCTGTGTATCTACGCTGAGCCTTGATGTTCCTTAAAAATAAAGCAAAACGCAAATTGGACTGGGGTTGTTGTCTTTTTACAATGCGAAATCCATCGGACCACAAAACAAACCACAAGCGAACCATACTGAGACCAACTTGGGAGGTGGGCTGAGTTTGTTTTGTTTGTGGGTCCATTTGGACATCTGAGATGTTTTATGGACTGATGGGTGTAAATCTGTAATTGGGATTACTGGGATCATGAGAAAAGGAAATGTAACCAGCTTCTTCTAAACCTTGGCCGTGTGGAAAAACCATCCTGCAGATTTCTTTGAAAAACTGAAAACAAGTTTCCCAAAAAGAATGAAAGCTGTAATAAAGGCAAATAGTGGAAAGGCTGATAATTGAAAAGTATATTTTATTTAGTAATTGAGGCTTCTGTGTGGTTTTCTGTCAAATATATATTTTCCAGGTTTTTTCCCTGACACTGGAATATGAATAACTTGTACGTAATGGCTGTTCTGACTGGAAACGAAAACAATGAAGAGTGGTTAAATCTTAGGGACCACAAAGCGAACCACTAACAAACCGTACTGACTACTGAGACTACCTTGGGACCTTCTGTTTATTGGTGGGTCTGTTTAGAGGGTTCTGAGTTTGTTTGACGTGTTCACATATGCAAAGAAAACCATGACTAAGCGGCCTGAGACCACTTGAAATGGCGAAACAGTCTGAAAATGCCATAAAACTGTTTAAGTCTGTGTCTCTCTGTGTCTCTCAGACATGGTTAAGCTGGGCAGTACTCTTGGAGAGAAGGTGGAGAGGGAGCCATCACTGGAGGATGGCTTTGACAACATTCCTCTGATCACGCCTCTGGAGGTTAACCAGCTACAGAAGCCCTTTCCAGACAAGGTAACCAATTCTGCATTACAGCCTGCACCACTGTTTATCTGCAATACATGAGAATTATACTTAATTTTCTACATAATTATAGACAGAGCTTTCTTATAGTTGTTATAATATAGGTAAGAGCATCAAAGGCATCTACCATGGAATGGACACTGGGACTGTCACTAGCATAGCTGTGAATAAAATTTTAGCTATATACAGAAATGAACAGTTAATTGACTGACTGACTGAAACTCCATTTCTAAAACACGATTGGTTGAGCCACGCTTGAAGCATTCTAATATATTCAGTATACACACAACAACACATCAAGCAAATTCTGCATCAATGCAGCAAATGATTAAAAAAAAAAAAAGATATATAAAATATAAATAATATATAAAATATAAATATAAAATCTGTGATCAGTGATTAAATACATTGCATAGCAGAAGAACTGTGTTTTTAATTATAGTAAATTAATTAGTTATTCATGCAGTACAGTGCGGAATTATTAAAACAACATTGTGTATTGTGCTATAATGATATAACACAATAACAAAATAATGTTTGATCATTAATGAAATACGTTGCATAGTACATTTGTCACAATTTACAAAAGGAAAATGCCACAAGTAGCCATTTGTTACACTGATTTTACTCTGCTGTCTAACCATGATAAAACCGTATTTAAAGCTTATTGTAACAATCTGAAAAGTGTTCAACCATTTTGTTATACTTAATAACCACACATTTATGCACACATATCGTTCTGTACACACACACACACTTTTGATTTGCTTTCCTTGTTTTCAACAAAACTAGTTACTCCAAATGACATCATGCCTGTGATGATCTACAGCTGTGATGTTATTTACGATAACACACTCCCTCGTGTTCTGTTGTTTAAACAATCATTGTGACTACGTTTGATGCAGTCTTCTGCTTAATGTCTCATGAGGACTGAGACTAATTCTCTCAAATACGCAAACATGGACACCCACTCGCGCATATACACGCAGATGGCATGAGAACTCTCCCTACGCAGCAGGAGTGCAGGACAGAATCAGAGTGTTGTGTTTCATAGTCAAATGACTCATCTTTTAGTGACAGTGATGGCCAAAATTACATAGCATTACAAGATCTGTGTGTTTTTTCATGTGTATATGTGTGTGTGGACACCCGTGGGTGTGCTCAACAGCAAGAAACATTAGTTAACAACTAATTGGTGTTATTTGTTATTCCTTAGCTAAATATATTATTTCTTAGCCAATATATATTACTTATAAAAAGAACTGGAATTGAGTCAGTCAGTCTATCAGTGAGTTCATGAAGATGAACAATAAGTGTCATCCATGGTTTTAATTTGGTTTGTTTTGTATGCCTGCACTGGATTATGAATCTGTTTGAGAATCTTCGGGTACAGTTGCACAAAACAGGTCATTCCCACAGCAGGATGCTTATGAGGCAGTTGTACATAACCAAAGCAAAAATGTAAGCTTTAACGTGAAGTCTTCTTTTAAAGGTACAGAGAGTTAGATGTATTTGATCAAAATCATTTAGGTTTGTTACATGACAGTCAGTGGCCTCTGGAGCCCCACTGGTGACATCCTGTATAAATAAAAATAATGCATGGCCACGACTTAGTAAGGCATGCGAACAATATAATAAAGTTGTGGCCACAACTTAGTAAGGCATAGGAATGAGATTCTAATGCGTGGCCACAAATGAGTAAGACGTGATCCAGTTCCCATGCCTTATTAAGGCATGGCCACGACTTAATTATCTGATTCCCATGCCTTACCAAGTTGTTGCCACGCATACGGATCTTGTTTTCTAGCGTTAACAAGGCATGGCCGCACATAATTTTTATTTATATGGAATGTCACCAGCAGGGCTCCGTAGTGGCCCATATTTAGCTTATATGGTTGCTTCTTACACAGCATTTCATAATCCCCCTAATTCTATGTCAACTTTGTAGAAATGTTAAAACACAAAGGCCCATGCACTCTTAAAAATAAAGGTGTCAAATGGGTCTTTAGAGAGATGCCATAGAAGAACAACTTTTGGTTCCCTGAAGAGCCTTTCAATAAATCGTTCCTTTAAAGAACCACTTTTATAAATGAGATGTGAGTGTGAAGAACCTTGTTAATGTTTGAAGAACTCCCACATAAATGTTAAGGTTCCATAAAAATGATTTTTTTTTTTCTGGAATTGCATGTCCAAGCCACAAACCACTTAGAAACCTTCAATTTTAAGAGTGTAGTTGTTGTAAGTAGGGATGCACCCATAGAGGAATTCTGGGCTGATGCCGATACCAGATATTTACATATGTTCAAATGTTATTACAGAAAAGTTTATAAAATGTAGAAATTATGACTAAATCTATCTGGATGAACAATGCAGAGAAATATACCCCTTGTTTGTATGGACTAAACAATGCAGTAAAATTAATAAAATGGAGACATTTTAACAAACTAGCCTAACTGATCGGCTCTTCAAGACATCAGTTGGAAATATCGGTCAAATCTAAACATCTGTCTGGTGCCAATAAACTTTTTTAAGCACTTATCTGTTGAGACCGATTTGTGCATCCCTGGTTGTACTGGCACCTATGCACTGTTTTGGGAGCTTTCTGTACATCTTAAAGCTTGTGTCATACTGTTCACTTCATTTTTATAGGTCATTGTCAAAACAACAACTGAGTATCAGCTGCAACAGAAGAAAAAGAAGAAGCTGTACGTGCCAAGCATTAAGAAGCTGAACATAAACCTTTATGGGGAAGTGTCGGAGAAGGTCAAGGTAAACCACTCTATGTTACTGCTCTGATACGCCAGCCTTGAAACTACATGACAGTCATTTTACAGTAGAGGAATGGGTTATTGCTGAAACATCTGCTTGTCTCTTTTGGTGGCAAGAATAAATAGACAGTTTGTTGCTGTTTAAAACTGTGTGCATTAAATAAATTCCATGTGCATGTGCTTAGTGAATATTTGTATGATGAGTTTTGTGTGTTAGTCAGCAAATAGTAGACTTGGGTTTATGTGACTTTGTACACTTATGGATGTTTTGTGCATATGTGTATTCCAGCTCACAGGACTCATTCTTATCACCTTGGCTTTCCTTGCATGTCTCCTGCTGCTGGTTATGTATAAAGCTCTTTGGTATGACCAGCTAAGCTGCCCCGAGGGTTTCGTCCTGAAGGTAATTTACACGGTGTATACATTATAGTTATGTGCCAAATCATTCTCATCTCCCTTTTAGTTTGCATAATAAGGTAATACTTACCCCAAAAATGTTAGCATTCCTAACAATGAATAGAAGTTAAAAGGAGAAATCAGCATTATGCAAAGTTAGTTAGTCACATTAACATTTGCTGGGTAAAATATTTGCCTTAAACAGTCAGAGATTTGTGAATATAGGTCAGCTGCACACTTGGAAGTGCTTACAGCTAAAGACCCATTTAACTGGATTACTGTTGAGTTGTTCAACTGCAGTATAGGCTAAATGCTGTCCTCAAAGTAGGTGTCATCCATGGTGGCATATGTCAAAACTTGCCAGCAATTACCAGCAAGTGTTCTTGCAGCATGATTTTAGCTCAACAAATTCAAGACAGTCGCTCCTGTTTTCCATTCTAATCATCTTTGAGCGACAGCAGAGCATTCATGCATGCAAATGTAGCCTCTGAAACTGCAGCATTAGCTCACGGCTATCTTGGAGCTGCGGTTTCTGGGCTAGCCAGACAGCAACAGGGCATTCTCCTTCAGCTATGCGAGTTAGAATGTCTTTAATTAATCTTAGCTGTGACTAAACTGTGATTAAGGCCTGCAGGGGTTTCCGCCTCAGTCCCTTTGATGTTGACGCCACGGCTGCCATTAGCGCGCTACGCTAACGTAGCGTTGCTGACTTGAAAAGCAGTCAAATTGCCTCTCATTAAGAAGGAATGAGCTCCGTCAAGGCCGAGGCTCGTTGACATCCTTATGACTGACGGCTTTCAGTTAGAGGAGCGCTGGGGATCCTCTGCTCTGGTTTCACTCTCCTTCAGGGCGTCCAACTGTGATCGTCCACTGCTCAACTGTCACTTCAACCTCAGCCTCTAAAAGCGCTCTGACAAATAGGAGTGCCTTTCGTGCCCCCCCCTCTTCTCAAGGCTCCCAGACGTCTCCAGGCGCACAATGTGAATGTATTCATATTAATGCAGGTAGAGAATCTGTTGGTTAAAGATGAGATGCCGTCCTTGATCATGCAGCAAAAGAATGCTGTCAAAATCAAAGGGAGGTGGTTGTCGCTGAGTGTTTTTTACTCAGCATTACTTCAGAGCTTTGTAGTTTTTATATTTTATGATTTTTTGTTCTTTTTGCCTTGGCTTTTCTTTTAAAGCAGTTTAACCCTAGTCTATAACGTGCTAATATGTGTGCTGTTGCACAAACCAGTTCCAAAAACTCGTCTGAGGTTGGTTAATTTATTAGAGTCCTCATTTGCATATTGTTGCATCAGTATTGCAAAGGCTATCATGATAAATGTTAGCACATATTGTGCAGGCCTACAATTTGTACTTGTTTCACTATACATATATAGATCTTTTTCAGATCTGAAGCAAGAGTGAAGCTTGATTTTCTCCTCTCGCTCAAAGATGAAAGATTTAAGTTCTGTTTATCTGATGACAGTTTTGGTGGTCTACCAGGTCTTCCATGGTTGTAGCAGTGCCATTTTTTGTGTATCTTTTAATATTTTTTTTAACTCCAGTTTTGGAAACTCCTGTTTTTTTCCCCCAGGTATTTTCATCAGACTTTCCCCTTCCTATGCAAGTGGATTATCTTATATCTAATCTCCTATAGCTTCTATAGCATTGTTGGATGCACATTAGAAAGACGTTTGCAAGGCAGCTGAGGTGTGTCTTGATAGGTGCTTGTGTGAATGTTAACATGCCTTTGAAGGGGAACATAATGTTAGTGACTCTTTGATACAGGTTTTGTAGGGAGGACGCAGCTGTAACTTCTTGGTTTTATGCTTAAAAGATGGAAGAGTTAAAGTGGTACAAAAGCAAAGAATGGATGAATTTAATACTAATAAATTTACACATATACTAATTGTTGGAGGCTTTTGTATAGTTTTCTGTCATATGCCTTTTTTCTCTGAACCCTAAAAATGAATGACTTAACAGTCGTTTTGACTAAGAATTAAATAAATGAAAGGGTGGTTTCTGACTATTACAGAATATTGTGTGCATATTTGATCCTTGTATGTTGAAGAATCAATATGTTCTCTCTTTCTCTAAACCTAGCATAAACACTGTACCCCCGCTGCTCTGGAGATGTACTACCCGGAGCAAGAATCCGGCTCGAGGGGCAGCCTGTACACCGCCATCAGCCACCTCAACCAGGCCAAAAAAGCTCTTCCTGAGCTCTCCTCTCCATGGCTTCCTGTTATCAATGCCCTAAAGGAGGCCCAGAAGGCCAAAGAGGAGGCGGCGCACTCCCAACAGTGAGGGCTGGGGAGAGGGGATGTTCGGATTTGACAGAGAAGGAAAGAAGGAAAAGGTGTGGATAGATTGGACCCTGGAAGAGGTTATGTAGGGTCATGTGATATGCTGGCTGTGTTTGTGTTTGTTGTTTGAGAGTGATCATATTAGCATTTTGAGATTGTGAATGATAAAGAGTGAGACAGAGTGTCTGTGTATGTGTATGTGTGTGTGAATATAAAAGCTGGTATTGATGTTGAAAGCATCCAAACAAGATGTTTGTCTTTGAAGTGCTAAGTTTGGAGCTGTGAAGCTGCGAAACCTGTTTAAATCAGTAGCTCTCCATTGGAATCTACCTTACTTGTACTTGATACAAAAACACTTTCAGCTCTTTAGAAACCTTCTCAGTGTACAAAATCAAATGTGGATTTTCACATCCTGTTCTTAAAGGGGAATTCCTCTGATTTTTCAAAATTCTTGCATAATTGAATGTTTGAGATGTAATCAAAGTCAGATTGGTTTGATGTGAAATGGTTCATTGTAGAGAAACTTACTGACTTGTATTTCATCACAGTGGTGGTGACAGAAACCAGGGGTCACAGTGTCTACAACACATACATTGGCATTTTGTTTATTAACCAAAACGACTTGTAAACCTACACGTCTTCTGAGTTTTAGATGTAATGCTGTCAATGGTGAAATAGTTACAAATCTGAAAAAATAGGTTTTCATTGGGGGCTATATTGTCTTAGAACGCCTCACATGTATACACCACTATAAATGCATTTAAAAAAATTGTTTTAGGCCAAAACCGAAATCTCAAAACTATCATAAAACAATGTCCCAGGCATCAATGAGGCAGCACATTCGTAAAAAGTTTATGTAGTAACTTTCTCTGAGGTAGGCTTTAGAAGCATTAAACCCTTTGTACGTCTGGTTCCCATCATCACCACTGTGAAGAATTCTGACTCAGTAAGTTTCACATCAAACACTCTAAATGACTTTGCTTACATCTTAACCATTTCATTAAAGAAAAATTTTGAAGAATCAGTGCAATTCCCCTTTAAGCCAACTTTAGGCCCACAGCACTGTTCTTATTGTGGTAGCTTCATTTGTTTTCTTCAGTGTTCGTGCTTTGTCATTCCGTATATGGTCCTTTAGGGACTCTCTCTTAGTTTAATGTGAACGTAACTTAGCTTAGTGGAACAAACTGTGCATGGCCTGTAAAATGTGCTCTGGAGAACTGCGGTGCAAAACGTAAAAAGAGCACTCTTCTGACAACAATGAAAACAAACTAGTTTCTCAGACCAATTACATCTAAATATGTATCATAATCTGAACATGTGATATAACCTATTCTTCTCAGAAATGCATTTTGCTAAAACACACAACCTTTTACCACAACATAACTGTGAGAGATCACAGTTTGCTTTGTGCATAGACATACTTTGTTTTACGCACACATATTGTAGTCATGCTGACGTTTCAGTGTTGAAACTAATGTAAAACCATTTGCTGTTCACATGGCCATGTAAATAGAACAGTGCAAATGCTGAATGTAATGTGAAATACAAGTGAACAGGATTTTGATATATATTTAGATCTTATGTACCGTGACTTTTTTTTGTTTTTGTTTGTTTGAGTTTGTATAGACGTTCACATGAAACACAAACCACCAGCAACCGTAAAAGTATTAAACACATCCTGACAGAATGTTTTAATGAAAATAAATTCCCAGTTTAGTTGAATGACCTGTAAACTCTGAGTGTGTGTATTCTAAAGAATGTTATTATGAATGTGCTAATTTATATTCACTGATAACCATCTTTTACCATTTTCCCCTCTACTTGCTTTTGATTGTACTATACGGTCGTATATTTTATCTTTAAAACGTCATTTGATTTATTTATTGCTTTTTATGTACAGGCTTTAGGCATTTATTATAACTGATTATTTGTATTACGTTTTGATATTTATTTGATATTCAACTCAGAAGCTCATTTTTTAATTTATTTTTGTATATTTTGTGAAGATTTTTACTGGAAACAGGAAGGTTAGTGTTAAGATTATTTTAAGAAGCAGCTCCTGATGTTAATCATCCTACACTATGAAGTCATGTCTGTGTGTGGCAAACTACTGTTACTCATCAGCTTCATCTTTCAGAAATAAAGATTCCAGTATTCAGCTCTATTTGCTTTCTCTTGACTTATTAGCATGCAGTATCCGCCAACACTGTTAAACTGGAGCTGTCACGTAGCGCTGGACAAGATTGATCAAACTTCTCAAGTCTTATATTTAGTTAGTTAATATGGATTTCTGGGCCGATAGCAATATCTGAAATTCTTCAGGTACAGTCACTGCCTATCTCTCGAATGAATTAGCATGAAAGAGCACAGCCACAAATGCAGTAAAATGAATAAAATGCAGACATTTAGCAGTCTAGCGTCAGCAATTATTGGATCATCCAATATTCAAATCTAAACATCATAAACACTAGACTGCTAAATGTCTACATTTTATTCATTTCTCTTTAATGCTAATTCATTAGAGAGAGGGAGGCAGTGACTGATGTGTACCTGAACAATATCAGATATTGGCACTGGCCCAGAATTCCCATATTAATTAACTAAATATAAAACATCACATCTGCAGAGATATTTTTCCAAACCTCCAAGTTCAGTCTTAGAAGTTGGTTGCATTTTCTGCTTCTCACAATTCAAGTAATCCCAATTACATATTTAGACTCACCAGCACATAAAACCTTACTCCACATCTCAGTTGCCCCGCTTCAGTGTTCTACTACAAACTTTCTTTTTTTGTCCACTTCCTTTTCTCAGTAATGGCTGCTTGACAGCTACACATTCTTTCAGACTCAGTGTTGAGTTCTCACAGTGGAAGGATGGACAGAATCACCTGTGGATTTTTTCAGACCTGAATCATGAGTGAAGGTTTATTTTCTCCTCTCTCTCAAAGATGAAAGCTTTAAGCACTGTTTATCTGATAGGGAAGTTTTGGTGGTCTATCAGGTCTTACACACATTTTCTTTGTATCTGTTAATATACATATATTTTTAACTCCAGTTTTAGAAACTCCTTTTTTTCTCTTGTTTTGCTTTGACTGTCCCCTTTTTTATGCAAACGAGTTATATTATTTCTAATCTAATGAGAAATCTTCAGACATATGAAGAACATCCTTAATGGCCATGTAGACTGGAATTTATATAAATGAAGGGTGGTCTCTGACTTTTGCACAGTACCGTGTATTTACATACAAACATGCACAATATACGATGCATGAACAACAGTGTACCGAATACAAAGGGTTTAAAACTGATGAAGAGGATGCATGTGTGAGCAAGAATGCAAGAATGCATGTTGAGTGCGAGTGAGTGTGTTTGGCGAGCCTGCTGTGCGTCTGTCTGCATCTCATTTACACTCCCACATTTTTCACACCGCCACCTTGCACTCTCTGCTCCGTAATGAAATCAACATTTTCATCTCTCTCTTTCTCTCTTGCTTTCTCTCTGAGTGACAGACCCTAAAAAGCCATTTGCCCAGGGCATGGAACCAAATAAAGTGTTAAAAAGTATTTATGAGGGTATTTACTGGGCCCGGGCCTGGTCAAGGCACAGTGATCGTTGCCAGGAGAGAGAGGGCGCTCACGCTGGAGAATGTGTAATGTGTGTAACGTGAGTGTCTGTGTGTGTGGAGGGAGAGAGAGAGAGATTTAGGAGAAACTTATTAAATGTGTCAGGGGTTTATTTTGCAGTCAGGCCTGTTCTGACGGCGCTGGTTTACAGCAGAATCAGGGTTACGGTGTAAAGCAGTGGTTTGTCTTTCATTTGATTGGACCATTTGGGCCTCCAGCTTTGTTCACCTGAAGGCAGAACAGAGATTAAAAATCAGCAAGTAGCTCATAAAAAATGAACCGAGTAACATATTTCATGTTTTTGAGAGAAGAAAGTGGAGTAATGAGCCAGTGGCTCCTTGAAGTGACAGCCCTGCACTTGTGCGTTCGCACTTGAGGTGTAAAAATGTATGTATGATCTCAAGGTGACAATTCAACAGAATCAGCTTTGGAAATTTTAGAACTGATTATGATCAATGAACGGCCAGATATTTTGTCAGATGTTTGCTTTCAATGCAGTATGTTGATGTAATTGTGCAATCGTCCTTTTGAAACATGCTCCTGAACACCACTACTTTTAGCTGCATGCTTTTTTACTTGGCTTATCTAGCTGAGTTGTCTATTGCCTACAATTAAAAAACATTCTTTAACTTGAATGATAAACCCACCAATTCCAACAGGAGCTGCTGTTTATTGGAAATGAAATAAAGTTGGTTTTATATCACTGCTGTTGGAACAAAACCTTGTGTCTCCAAAAAAGCAACTTTACAGGACAAGAAAAAATATTCTCAAACTTAAATGGAAGTAAATGGAGAAATCATTTTTTCCCCAAGTAATTTTGGACCGTTTCTCTTGGTCTGTTCATCATGGAATTTTGACACAAAATAAAGGGCTTTTTTCAAATTATGTCAAAAAATGAAAAACTGGAGATTTTGTCCTGACAGCAGCGATATGTTATAATAGTGTGAAAAAACAACAATTTTAATACAAGTGTAAGTGTTTTCTGTTTTGTGGGAACATTTTGAAGTGCCTTATTATAGGTTACTTATGTTTTTATTGACTTGCACAATTGCAGCTTTTACGTCTTACACTACAAGAGCAAAAAGATTTCTGTTAATGTTTTTATCTTTTCATCTTTACATGATAGAGATGGCACGACACCACTATTCACACTGACACCAGTATTCTAAAACAGTCATTTTTAATTGATGCACATGTCTTTGGATGATCATCTAAAAGTTTTGTTACAAGGTTGGATTGGACCCATTCTTTCTTTCCCTCCAATATACCCAATCCAACAGTCTCTACTGATATTCCTTGCATATCAATAGCTTTACAATGTTGTGTGCATGCATATGTGAGCATAAGATTTAAACATGGAAAAAAGCAAACATAGCACAGCCAGGTTGCTGAGTTTGGAAGTGGACTGTGTGAGGAATGAGTTAAATGAAAGCGAGCAGAGAGATTGACGGAGAGAGAGAGGGAGAAAGGAAGAGGGCTGAGGGGCTGAATGGAAAATGAAAGAGAGGAAGAAAGAGGCTGAAATATAGGATCCAGACAGGATGATTAAACTGCAGTGGGGGAGCTTGATGAGACAGTGGCGTGCCGAGTGGGCCGGGGTCAAGCCCGTGGGCTGTGTGTGTGTGTCTCTGTAGGATCTCCCCAGCTCTGGCGCCAGAAGAGAATGCCACGAACACAGCAGACACCCTGAACATACATACACACACATTCACACTATCTCTCTCATTCTCACACAAACAGGCAGATGACAGCAGAACATGTCCCCACCCACCCCCAACCTACAGCGTAATTATCTCAGCTCTGCAATACAGTCGCTCATCATCACACCATTACTGTCACACACCACACACTCACTCTCAGCTCTCACACACACACCAGAACACACTCAGCGAAACAACCTCAGACTCAGACTCTGTTCCCTGTTGAAACACAAAAACAGCAGCGCCACCTGGAGGACATCTGCAGTAGTTGTTGATAAAGCTCAGTAATGCAGCTGCCACTGATTTTACAACAGAAACTCAATTAACCCTCTGACATTAGTTTAGAGAGGGTTAAGTTTGTTTTGAATGTTTTAAAATTAAATGTATCTGCATTGTGCTTTTCACAACAGAAATTTGTTAAGGATCAGTAGTGTTTTTTTTGTTTATTTTGAACTGTTTTAAATGAAAAATCTATTGAAAGAAACTAATAAGCTTAAAAATAAAGGTGCCATTAAGAGATCCTCTGTTCCATGCCATAGGAGCACCGCTTTTCCATTGAATAGATTCAACCTTCTATTGAACGATCCATTAAAAGGTTCTTTAGGGAACAAGAAGTGGTCCATCTCTGGCATCAAACCGAAGAACCCTGCTTTGCCACCTTTATTTTTAAGAGTGTAAAAACATGTGGAAGAAACACTAAAAAGAACCAAAACCAGAAGGGGAAGTCATCCTCCTGTGGGTGACACTGGATAGTGTTAGACTTGTACAGCATGTTAGATAAAAAGCTCATGGCAGGCGAGAAGTTCATCCAACATATAAGGATTATTAAACAAACTCTCACTGTTTTAAGTCCACTGGAGGTGCGGAATTAGCCAGTTCCCTGAGCTTCAGCAAGCAATCACTTGAGCTATTCTCATACCTCCCAGGGCTGAGAATGCGAGGTCGCATTAGTCATTAGTTACGCACTGAAATGGCATCTTCCGTCTGAGCCCATTCTAAAGAACAGCCCTGTTTTTACTCCTCTACAGTCATTGGATGAATGATCTTTTACGACGTCCTGTGATTAAACTTTAGCTTAGCAGCTAATGGGTAAAATGTCAAGGAAAAACAGGGGGATTTCATTAAAAACAACATCTGTGTGCATGTGTGTGCGTGTGTGTGTGTGATTGTTGTCCTAGGTTTTCTGACTAAGTTAGAATGATTAGGGTTCAAATTTAGGAAATGGGGAATACCAAGTCTGCAGAAAACATACCACCCAAACCCGCCACTGTAACCATATACAATAATCTTATATTACTTTTATTATCCTATGGCTTCTCATTTTTGTTTCTATTAGCCTAACTAATTAAAACCCAGTGGACAGAGAACAATTTTTGCCACAAAGTCAGTTAATGAGTTAATGACCATTAAATGTTATTATTTTATCCAACACTCAAACATATTTTACAGTTAATATGGTATACTGGTACGTACATTACATTGTTTGCCACCAAATCTATGTATAATTCTCAGTAGTGGACTCTGAAGCACGCTGTTAAGGTCAAATGTTGTTTCCGCAACTTCTGGACAACTCATTTTAAGTATCAAGCGTTTTTTTGAGGATCTCCAGGACTTCAAACAGGACATCAGGGTTATTTAGCTTCGTGACCAAGAACCATGTTTTTTTTTTTTTTACTCAAACAGGGAAGGCCTCTGCAGGAACAACTCCACTGAAAGGCTCTGTTCTTTGCCAGTGATCAGTCTCCTAGCTCCTGGTCTATATTTGACTTGTGTAATTTATTCTTTCTTATTCTAAATATGACTGATGATGGATGACTCCTGGTTCAGTCCATGTCCAGGCAA